GCGACCACGATTAAATTCGTTATACCAGCGTTTCACAGTGGCAAAGGATGGGGCTTTATCGCCAAAAGTGGAAGTAAGTTGATCGATGCACTCCTGCCTTGATAATCCACGTCGAAAGTCGTAATAAATCATTGCACGAAAATTTTCACGAGTTAATTTCATTTTTTCGCTGAGACACAATTTTCAAGTGACTATAAACAATACAAATCGCGCTCAAATAACAAAACGTTCTGAAGAAGGTTATGGTCAAAAATGTCAAACTTTCTAGTGGAAACGTCAGATGGCACCTGACAACACTCAGTGTTGCCAAGGCTCAAAATATAAATAGTGCCCCTCGTATATAAAGACAGATTTCATTTAAGCAGCTGAGTTTATAAGATTAGTTATGAGGTACTGACCTAACAAGCCCCATATTTGACTGAAATACTTTTTTATAACTGAAAAACCGTAAATAAAATAGCAACTTAAACATTAAAGTTAAAAAATACGATAATAACTTATATCTAAAAAACACATTTGATTATTATCAATCGCTCTAATTACCATGTAGACCAAAAAGAATACTCACCTAATAATTTTACTTTTGATATACAAAAATGAAAAAGCGTACGTATTTGACTGTTGATAGTCGGACACAGATTATTTATAATATATTAAGGTATAATAATCTCTGTCTTTGTGCTACATTACGCAAGCATAAACGTATCTATATATATTTTGGTTATTTAGATATTTACATTTGACCAACTTGCCCCTATACTCAAATAGCCCCGCTCTACCCTATGGTTGGTCTCCACAGAAATCTGATGATGTCAACTAGATTAAATAGTAAAATAACAATTTATGTGGAACAACTATTTATGTGATTGCTTGAACCATCATAGTACAATGGTTAAGTTGCAGCAATGATGGCATTTCACATACCATATACATATTTTTAATTGTAAACGTGATGAGTCGCTTTTGCTTTTTGAAATTACAACTTAATTTATAGCATGATGTGTAACAAGAAATTCTTATTAATAATTTAATTCTTATTATTATACATCATGCTTTATAATGCACGATTGACGCAACTATACGGATATATAACTTATCCATAGTAAATGATCCCCCAACCAACGATACACATTCCTATCACATAAAGATAACTAAGATGATGTTTCTGTATTGCTCACAACTAAATATTTTTAGTTATGTGAACTATATCTTTCTTTTTTCAGTGAATACTATTAAAAATTCAATAAAAAATTTTTATAAAAATCAGTTTTAAGGTTTTAACACAAATACAAAACCCTTTTTTACTATGTATTAACTGATAAAACGAGAAAGAAACGGAATTTAATTTAATTTTATTAAAACAGTGAAATTTTTATAACGTCCAATTACGACACCAATTTTAGCACATGCCTATTAAAGATAATAAGAGTAACGAGTCGTGCAGTACAAAATACAACGAAGAATGTTACAAATTCAGCTGACAGGCAATCTATCATTCTCAAGGTCGGATAATACGTATAGGGCATCTTATACAATTCTCTGTAATGCAATTACCGCTGCGATAAATTACAATCACGGAGAAGTATCAGCGTCACGCCCCGCGATCTATTTAATTGCGACACGATCGAAATTATCTAAGAATATCTAAGGCTATCAACAGATGATACTTCTACTTTTGACAAATTGCTTGCAGCATTTTGATGAAAAGAAGAAGCTCTGTTATTAACAAATGAATATTTTAGTTCTAATACGAAAACATTCTAATCTATCATAGATTTCTTTTTCTGCATCTAATTTTTTATTTTAAATATCTCAGCGATTAAACTTTAAATTAATATTAATGCAAAATCTAATTAATCATGACTAATTGCGAATTCGATTGGACGCACTCAGTACGCACTAGTGTAATTAAAGCCGTTGTACACAAAATAACGTAAAGAAATGTTTATAAATAAATATAGAAATCGATTAAATCATAAAATTCTCAATACATTTTATTGTACTATTAAGTAAAATATGTATTTCATAATTCTAAATATTTGTATTTCATTTTTATACTCAAATTAAATCAATGTACAACGGCTTTAATATGCACCAGTGCGCACTAGTGCTTCCAATCGAATTCGCCATAAATGTTTTTCTAAAATTATATTATACAAAATACTAAAATTTATTATATACATATATACATATATATTTATAAATGTCACAAAAAATGTTATTTATTAGATGGAAATAATTCAGTAAAAAAGAAATTTTTTTTAATTTCAATTAATCGGAATTAATTGTGACTTTGATAAGGAATTGGTATTCTTGAAATTGTTTCTAATAATATCTGACCGACTGAATTTTTTTACTAGGCTTGGAAAATATTTTTCACCAGTATCACGAAGAGAGTAAATTATAAATATAAAAGCTTCATCGAAAGTCTCCACGCCTGACACGCAAATCTGGACATTTCATTTTCCTGCAAAGTGGCACAAAACCAACTATCTTAACACAACGTAAAACCGTCATAGCAACCTACAATTAAAATGATGACAAATTACAAAATCCGCATAACTCGCTTACACGATATAAACCGTACGTTTTAACTTATTAATTAAAATCACGTATGCGTTACCTTGTTAGAGCAATTTCACAATGATTTTCAACGATTTTCACGCGGATTTTTTTTCACGTGAAAGTATAATTAAAAAGTCAATTTCTAAATTGAAATTATATAAAGCTGGTTTAAACTTTTCAGAATAATATCGGAAATTCTTCTACAGAAATAAAAAGTATATATAAAATTATGTATCAAACTCTGAAAAAAAAAATTGGAAAACAAAAATATTCTTTCTGATTCAGAAGAGAACGTTTCTTTCTTATGTGACTTGAAGTATTACATAAAATGTTTCTTCGATGAATTTAAAGTATTCAAAATAAATTGCTTTCTGTCTGCGCTAATGGCAAATACAAATCCAAACATAAATATAGATACCCTCTTGTAAAAAACGTGATGTAGTTTACGTAGTGGTAGATTGCCGTGGCATGTGCCGCATTTTTTGAGGCTCTAACAACCGAGAAACGTGGGAGGAATAAACAAACGGCACGATACTACTGTTGGCAAGTGAAATGTCAACAATTGAGATTGCTTCTCTATAATCCCGACGTCAATGCCAATGATTTTACGACGATAAATGAACCATATATTGCATATATTCAATATTTATATATCTTTTCCGTGATAATATAAAAAAATATCGCAATTTTATAGTTTCATATCATTTGCTCATGCTAGAAATATAGTCTTTCGATAATATCTCTCGTTTTCTCTGTATTTCAGAAAAATCGATACGAGTCAGGATCACATATCGGATGCTGTATTCAGTAGTCAAAGGTAATATGCATGTTATTACAATACAAGCGTAATTATTAAATTTTTTTACGTAATTTTTTTGAATTGTAATTTTTTTTACGTTATACCTCATTTTTATTTATAATGAAAAACTATAAAGTATCAAAAAATACTATTACATGTTATATCATATTTGCTACACACATCTTTCATGTAACTTTCTTTGTTTCTAAATAGAATAAAAAGATATAATCCTTCAATTAACGAATTTCATCACGAATTTAGTAAAATAAAATTGTGACAAAAATTTCTCAGATATTGATTGTAAATAATGAAAGAGAATCTATCAAAATTCACATAGTATCTAAAAAATTCATCGTGATAATATAATACTCGATATTTAATAATTTATAAGAGAGGTTGAATATTATTAATGTAACTCTAACAAAAAAATTAAGTCAAAATGCACTTATCGCTTTATATGACGTGATTAGAAGTTGAAAAATTGAACAAAAGCTGTGAAAAATTCTTGACCTGATTATTCCATATATTTGTAATTCCACGTAATCTATTCGATAGGAAAACGAAAAGTATTATTAAATCTTCAGAGTTGGAATAATTCGCTTGAAAATCTAAAGGGATATTTCAAATTTATACAGTGACAAACAGAGAAACTTTCTTGAATTTATCTGTCGCCAACGAAAATATATATAAGATAGCACAAAAATCGTAAATGCGAAAAAGTTAGTGCTAGATTGCACACACAGATACATATCTCGATACATATTTATGTTATCAGGAATTTTTATATGTGATTTTCCATCAAGATGTAATATTTCAGAATATATGTCGAACATAAATAAATATTAGAAGCAGATCGCTTTCTATTCATTAAAATGCATTAAAAATATCAAGTATTTTTCTAACCACAATAACGATATATTATATATCTTTAATTTCGTTTAAGAGAAAGTTTCTTCAAGAAAAAAATCTTTCGGATTGAAATATATTTCTTACTAAACATATATGTTGATAGCACAGAAAATAAACAGTATAAAGCAAATACACGTTTCAGTTTTAAACAAAATAGGAAAAAAATATTTAGTTTAATCCAAGGCAAACTTTCGATTCTATTTTAAATCAAAATATTATACTTCTCTCTAACAGTAGCGAAAAGCTTTCGCTTTAAGTAGAGGAAGCATAGTTTTCCTTCTTTAAACTTTATTTAACATTTAAATATTTTTTATTAAACATATTTTGATGTATATTATATTTTATCATGCTTTTAAAATACTTGTATTATTTAACTATTCGATCACACTCTTACTCGTTTGTATTTTATTTTGCTTTGAAGCGCGTTTCTGTTTTTCAGCTGTATGTCACTGTGCTGTCGAAACACATGTAAAAAATAATTTCAAATGCGATAAAATAAAAATCCTTTTTTTTCGTTCGAACCTGTTCAATGTATTTTCAGTCTTATTATTGACAATGCAATGACACAGAGTCAAACCTATATAAATCACTTACATTTTTTTTAATTAAATATATTTAATTATAAACTTTGAATTTATATTAATTTTAATAAAAATTTCTTTTTTATAGTTTTACGAGTATAACATTTAATATAATTTATAATTTTCTTATTATATAAAAATAACGCTGCTATTCGTTTATTATTTATTAAATAATATTAGCAGAAAACAATTCTCGCTGATGCAAGAAAAGAACATCAAAAAGAATTCCAACTGAAAACATTTAATAGAATCTTTGTGATATGCAGTTAGTTCGTCGTAAATCCTGTTTTAACGCACCGTAGCAGCATCTTTCAAACACTTCTACGATATAGTATACCTGCAACCACAACACGATAAAGTTTGATTAATACGCACGGTGGCTTCAGACTTCGCATTTAATTTAAAAATAAGATTTCGAAATCACTATAGTACAGTAAACTCTGTTGTTGAATTTAATTAAAAAGTACTGTAAAAATACTGATATCATGAGGGGTATTCTAAGTATATTTGCATTAATTAACACTTCACTTTGTTATACCGAAAAAAAGATATTCAAAAATTTATTTGTGAGAAATACATTTATTTTACTGAAATAAATCTTTATTTAAATACACTAAAATAAAATTTTATTCCGAGCAAATAAGTCATCTATTTTATTTTTTTACAATTAATGACATATTTCACGGAAATGTATATTTCGTCATCACAATCACATTTTTTCCATAACTAATAAATATCGAAGAAAATGTCATAAATAATATTTGCTTCGCAATACTTCGACGTTTTTCTCTTAGTGTAGAAAGAAAGTCAGTAGCACATATGTGCACGTGTTATAAAATATTGATCGCATATGCAACCATACATAAAGTATCGATCACTGATATTAATCTTCTTACAATGAGAGAAAAATGTATTAAATTTTAATGTAATAAATTTGTAAGAAAAATGTATTAAATTTTAATGTAATAGATTTGTTCGAATAGTGCCAGTTACTAAATGTAAATATATATGTTTATTTGATACAAAAACCATTCATTCAATTTAACTATTATTTTTTAATAATAAGATTGAAAGACCGCTAATGTTAAACATAATAATTTTAAATTAAGAAGCACCATAACGGTCAGAACGTTAAGATGTTGAACTATTGTAAATTCATTTAAATGAATTAATTTCAGAAATGATAATTGCGTGCCGATATGGTTGTCGGACTTTCAACGCAATCAAATCTGAAAATATTAATAATCCCCCCAAATTCCCCAACTTAAATGAATTTACAATAGTTCAACATCTTAACGTTCTGACCGTTATGGCGCTTCTTAATTTAAAATTATTATTTTTTATTTAGCAAATATTTATTTTCCGTAAATATTATATTATTATTATTCAAACAATTATTTATTAAAATTTAGTACATTTCGCACTCAGTATATTTCTGTCAATATCGCCTGTGTTAAAAATTATATGAACTTTAAGCGAAAATTTTTATTTGGAGTTAAAATTAAATTATATTCTTTTAATTTTCATTCTTTCCAATTGTATGTATCAAGAAAGATTGACAATGAACTAATAAAAATTAAAGATTTTTCAGTTTAGTCAATAAATAAGGATTTTGCTCTACTAATATCAAATATGATATGCATATAGGTACACACGATAATGTGGCAGAAATTCATTAAGAGATCATGGTCTTACAAGTTACCATTCTCAAATGTAGGTTGACATAAACGTGGGATCATCGGGGTATTTGAGTCAAGAATTTTAGCTAACTATTATTTTTTATTATCAATTAACAGAAATTCCAAATAATCATTATTCAATTCGTCATTATTAATTAACATAAAAGTTAAATATTGCAGTGGGCGACCCTTATTATACGAAATAAATGTAGATGAATAATTCCCACGAACACGATTTTAATTACTTGTTGCTTTTAAATGATTATAATTATTCGAATAAATTAGTCGATGATCCGTAAAGCTATTGTTAATTGCTGTCGCGTATTAAATAATAAAGGGAATGATAACACGTGCGTGTGTACGCTTTGTTACATTATCTCGCGAAAAAGATGACAGAATCATACGCACGTATCTTGAGGTAGTAGTAGTAGTCAATCGCGTTTAAATAAGCATATTTACTCAACGTACGCAAATACATTACGCGTTTGACGATGTGATATAACAAATGCAATTGATATCGAACGACACGCAGTCAGACGGGCAGGCAAAATCCCGGTGAAATTGATAGCTCGCTTGATAAATGGAATAAACGGATAGAATCTATACCAATCCGTATTGTAATCGCTAGTAACTGCTCTGAGCCAGAAGCGATTTTGCCGTAAGATAAATTAACCGATAAATTGTCTCGGACAGGTGCAAAGACTCAATGCTGAGACAACAGAGTAGGATATAATGAATCTTCGCTGAAAGCTCTCTCTTCGATAAATTAAGGGATCGCCTATTGTGAAGAACATCGCGTTAGCCTTCTTGCATTCCTATTATACACCTACTTTAGATTGCTATCTTTCACAAAAACTTTATAATATGACTATTTAACCCTCTAGCATCCGCTAGGCGCCACTATAGTGACTTCCCACTAACCGATACCTTAAAACAAAACACCATAGATAGCTTCCCTCTAAACAATCTAAACAATCTTTTAGGACGCAATTTAAGTGGCTTTTAAAATTTTAAATGCATGGAAAAGTGTTATTCAAAATCATCGTGTTTCCTAAAGATTGTTTAAAATTTAAAAGAGAGGCACTATAGTAATATTTCTAAAGCTTAAAACACATAGTCCATGCCTCAATAATTCGATATCTCGTTGTTTTATCAGACAGAAATGTCCTCAATTGTTTTGACTTGCATTTGTTTCATCAAAAGAACGTTTGCGCTTTTCAGTCGCATTTTTCTGTGATTGAACTGTGCGTATAGTTTTGCATGCAATTCAACCATAACCGAAGAATTAACACTCATCAAACATTGTTTAAATGTAAAAGAAAACATTGGTGTCTTTTCATTTTTAAATGTTTAAGTTATAAAAGTCCAATGAATAAATTTACATTTATACGCCATAAATTTTATACGCTATCGCAGCAGTGAATCCTTTCTAATTTTTCATAATATGAATGAAAATTACATAAATATTAATATTCTATCGTTCAAATATATATTTTTCTGACACAGAATATTTTATAACTTGCAGAGTATATAAGAAATCCTCGCCGAATAATAAGTTGACACTTTACTTAGCTAGCAGAGATATTATCGTCAGCGAAGCTAAGAACGACAACAAACTCCTAGGTGTCCTTTTGGTTGATCCCGACTATGTACGCGATAAGAAGGTAAGATAAATTACAAATATTTATTTTTATGAAATGCCATTTTTCTTGAACCTGTTAGGACGTTTACCGACACAGTCACGTATAAAATGTAAGTTCGGTACATTTTTTACAAACTGTTTTCAAAATTGTGTAACGTCAATATCTATAAAAAGACTATTCGAACTAAGATTATCGAATCTTAAAATATCAAGTTCAGCGAACGAAATAAGATCTTTAAAATCATAAGGAATCCTGCTTATTAGTTATAGTGTTAAATCTACTGGAAAATTTCTCTATGACGTATTATTCGATCGGAAATAATTAAAGTTGAACTGATATCAGATTCCAATTCTCAGAATATAGAAAAAGAAAAAGAAATACAAACTAAACTATATTTGTTGTCAAAATCTTTACAAAGATTTGAAGATTGTGAAGAATCTTTCTTACTCATTTTCTATAAGATATATTTTGGAAATTTTGGAATATTTTGGAATATATTTTGGAATATTTTTGATACGTTCAAATTTATTTTATATACACAATAACGTTTTAACATTAATAAAATTTGTCTTATAATAATTAAAATCTTCGATAGAGTGCAAAAGAAGAATTTTTGTGTATTATAATTTAACTGTATATATATATATATATATATATAAATCAGGCTTCTGTACATATCCTTTAAAAAAAAACTAAATTATTATTTTTACAGGTATTCGGTCAGGTGACGTTGACTTTTCGTTACGGAAGAGAAGACGAAGAAGTAATGGGCTTAAAATTTTGTAATGAAGCAATGATGTGTCTGGCTCAGCTGTATCCATTTTATGTAGGAGCTCATCATTTGGAGACTAAGAGCCTACTCCAGGTTAGTATACAAACTAATAACATGGATATAAATGGATGTGATAAAAAATAGATGTAAATAATTATAATAAATGAACTATTAATATCAATAAAATTACGATATCCACATAAAACAAGAATGGCCAACCCGCGGCACGTGAAGGCATTCTCAGTGGCACGCCTAAAGAAGCACGCATTATATGGAAATAATGTTTTTAAAGCAGGAAATTCATTTTAAAGCAGAAAATTTTTGTTTTATATAACAGAAATGAGACATTATTTCTTAAACTTTTTTTGTTTATAACTTTTTAACAAGTAAGTAACGTCTGACGGCTAAAACTTCCTCAGGGTCATGACTTTGATTGACAATATATGTCAAGGTGAAGGTCATTAGGAGGCTCCCATAAACTGCATAATTACCAATATTATATCTAAAATATAACAATCTTTTTTCTTAATTCGTTATTGTTTACTTCGCAAAGTATTATATTGAAAAATCTCATTAAAAACGCAAGCAAGCCAATGCCGGCAATAATTTAAAAAAAATAAATTCACGAATGAGCTCGATATGAGTTACGACAATTTTCGTACGATTTTAGTGTTCGCTATTCATACATACGCATGTTGAAACTCGCATCATTACGAGCACAGATGTATTCATAGCGTGTCTTAACTGCACGACGTGAAATATAGTCCAATATGCTTCAAGGATTTAGGTTACAGTATAAGTGGAATTTATGCTTTCCTTAATTAAACTGTACCTATCGCGGTGTATAGAAACTGTGATTTGTAAAACTCCGTAACGAGTTCAACCGTCCAATGATATCATAATTATATATAATATCAATACAACGATATTATTAATACGTATATATATCCAATCAAGAAATAAGCATAAACACTCAACTCACTACATAATCATGAGAATTTCAAGCACTCTACATTTTGCGATGCGCTACGTCGCATGCAGTTTCGAAGTAATGCATTTTGAACATTGTAACCAAAGGATGTCTTGGCACTAGTAGATATTAATAATCTTTCTAAACACCTCGCAAGAAGGATGAAGACAGTAAATTGATAAATGAATTTCCAACCACACAAATCTCATTATATCTATTATTATACTTCATCATGCGAATGAAAACTTCCTAATAATTATCTTCATGTTTTAAAATCTATTTGATTTAAATTAAGAAGCGCCATAACGGTCAGAACGTTAAGATGTTGAACTATTGTAAATTCATTTAAATGAATTAATTTCAGAAATGATAAATGCGTGCCGATATGGTTGTCGGACTTTCAACGCAATCAAATCTGAAAATATTAATAATCCCCCCAAATTCCCCAACTTAAAAACTGTAATAAAACTTATTGCGAAAAATAATGCCTCGGCCGGGAGTCGAAC